AGCTAATCATTTTGTAAAGGTTTACTATGAGCCAGAGGTTATCTTGGGTAATCTTCACCATAATCTGGGAGATAAGCACTGTAAATAGTGTGGCTTTAGAAAGAAGTGGAAGCTCAGAGAGGTGAAGTGACTAGCCTCAATTACCCATAGCAGGTAAGTGGCAGAGCAGTGAAAAGTTAGTCTGATCCTATTCTGATATTTTAAAATAAAGAACTTAAAATTTAATTTTTTTCGTTTTTCTTTGGCTTCCTCAGTACTGTTATACTATAGCCATTCTGCGTCTTTTGAAGCTATTTGGAATCTATTTTCATTAAATCATGGTTATAGCAACAATAATTTCTATTTTAATAGGTATGATAGCTTTAAATTTCATTTCCAGTACTGCTTTCTTTTCATGAATAGTGACACTGTACAATACCCCTTGGGGATATTCTCATTTAATAAATGAGGACACAGACCTCTAGATTAATTGTTTGCCTAAGGTCTTTTATCAAATCAGAAGCAAATCTAGAACAGGGGCTTAGACAGTTTTTGATTTTTAGGTCATGCAGCCTCCTTTATCTTGAAACCCTTCATGCCTTCGTGTTGGGTTGTTAAAACTGATATAGTTGGGGCGCCTGGGTAGCTCAGTTGGTTAAGCGGCTGCCTTCGGCTCAGGTTATGATTCTGGGGTCCTGGGATCGAGCCACATGTCTGGCTCCCTGCTCAGCGGAGAGCCTGCTTCTCCCTATCCCTCTGCCTGCCACTCTGCCTACTTGTGCTCTCTATCTCTCTGTCAAATAAATAAATAAAATCTTTAAAAAAAAAACCAAACTGATATGGTTTGTCCAGAAGGATCTTGCTGCATTTTTTTCTGATTTCTGTTTGAGAAAATGAGGTCTCTGGAAGTTCTATAGCTTGAAGGGCAGGAAAGGATCCTTATGGTTGATGTAATTTCTACTTTGAGTAATGATCACAAGTATTCACTCCACATAAAATATGTATACATTGTTCCCTTCTTTAAGATTTCACGAGAAAAAGTATACCACCATTACTTTATTTAAAAGTCTGTATAAAAATTTTTTTAACTATGTAGCCTAAATCATTCATGCTGACAGTTAAACTTGTTCTGTTCTCTTCTCATAACAGGTGTGGGCATAGATAACTATCATCCTTCATATAAAAATTCTCCTAAACTTACATAACAGCATCTTTTAACTGAGTGGTTACATTTTTATTCCATAAACACTAAAAGCCTTCTGTGAGCCAGTTTTGCACTGGGACGACATAAAAGGCAGGGTTCTCACCCCTTGAGAACCTGAGAATCTTGCTAGGGAGATGAAACAGGCATATGGGAGAACTAGGAGAACTTGAGCATTGTAGCTCCACACTTACGGGCTGAGCAAACAGAGGGCAAAGGGGGCATCAATGCAGGCAGGGTAGGATGTTTGGGTCTGAGACTTATTGCATGGTACAATATGTTGTTGATATATTTGAGTACTTAATGGATTTGCTATGTAGTTTTTGTTTTTTTTTAAAGATTTTATTTATTCATTCGAGACACAGAGATAGAGAGAGAGCACAAGCAGGCGGAGAGGCAGAGGGAGAAGCAGGCTCCCCGCTGAGCCAGGAGCCAGACATGGGGCTCGATCCCAGGACCCCGGGATCATGACCTGAGCCAAAGGCAGATGCTTAACCATCTTAGCCACCCAGGCGCCCCTATGTAGTTGTTTTTAACATTCTTCTTTACAAAGGTGATGAGATTGCATTAATAAAGTTTGACAGTACTGATTAAAGTATTTTCATACTTTGTACTTTCATACTTTTATAGACTATTTTTAGGAACAATCAGGAAGCAAGATGATGCTGAATTAATAACTAGTAGTATTTCTGTAAATTCAGCGATTCAGATTTTGTTACTAAAAAGTGTCTTCTTAAGGTTTTCTCCTTTTAGCCAGTATTCTTGCCTGCCTTTAAAATTTTTAATTTACATGTATGTACTGGGTCTGTAACTCTGTATCCAAAGGGCAAGTCAGGAAGAAAGTTAAAAATCTTGGGTGATCCTTTGCATGATTTTATTTTTCATTATTTTTTTCTAAAAAATATACCACTCTTATAAATTTATATTCCTCTTATTATATTCTTATCTTTGGATCCATTTGCACTATAAAGCATCCACTGTCATTGCCACTCAAATGGTGTATAAATAAATAATTAATAAGAAAAAAGCTCAGGGGGATTAAAAAAAATAATATTCTTAATCATGTTGAGGTAAATTGCATAATCATAGATCTCATTACTGAAATAGACTTTTCAGATGGCATGATTCAGTCTCTAAGTTCCAGGAGGTAAAATATGATCATCTGGAGCACAACTGAGAAGGAGAGATATGGAGATATGGTGCCTGTTCCAGTTGACTCTTTCAGTAAAATGAACAGGGAGTGAAGGAAGGCTCCTGTTGAGATGGGGGGGGTGAGGTTGGAAGGGTGATGGGTGCATGGACTATTCAGAGGTTACACTTGCATTGTTTGAGGAATTAAAAGGACTGAATTCTGGGGGCAGGAGAATCAATGAGACTTTAATTGAAATCGCCATCAGGAAGAGGGCCTGGTTTGGAAAGAAGTCATTTAATTCAGCATGTTGAGTTTGAACACCTCTATGAAAATGTTAAAAAGGTATTTGGAAATGGGAGAATGGAGATCAGGAGGAGGGTCAGGGTCACATAGTATGTTTCTCAAGAAAGATGAGATAAAGTGAAAAAAATGTTATCTATTGTTATTGTTGCTGTTTACTTAATGTAGCACATAACATAGCATCTGCCATATAATGGCTACTCCGTGAACAAGTGAGGATTTATGGGAGTAGGTTAGAGCTTTGCCAATGAAACAACAAGTGAGAGAAGAGGAGGGGAAAGATTAAGGGGAGAACCTTAGGAATTGCTTGCTCTTGCTTTTTTTTTCTTTTTTTTTTTTTTTAAGAGGACAAGAGTCAGAGGAAGGGCTGGGGAAAGTCAGAGGGAAAACCTACTTGGTAAATATCTAAGATAGAAGATGAAGCACAAGAGAGGATCAAGGGAAGAGGGTGGAGGGAAAGGAGAACATGAAGATCAAGAAAATACCTGGTATTTGGCTCTTTGATTTTTGGTGCTTGCAAGTGAGCAGTTTCAGTAAAATAAGGGTGATGGAGGCTTATTAGAGGCAGTGTGTATGGGACTATTCCTCATGGGGCTTGAAGATAAAGAGAGGATGTTAAGAGGTATCAGGAGACTATAGGTTTTCCTAAAGTACAGACATGTTTGTAGAAGAGAAGGAAGTTGAAAGTGCAATTAAGAGGTGGTATAGTTGATGGAAGATTTTGGAAGAGGTTGGAGGGGTTGCTACTAAGCTCAAGGCAGAAAGGGCTGGCCTTGGAGGGACAGGAAGAGTGATTGTCAAATACAGAAATCAGAGTAGGGAAGACACAGAGGGGTTGTGTGAAGGAATGAAGAAAAATCATGGAATCGCAATTCCATCACTTTAATTATCATGGTAAAGTATTGGACAAGGTCATAGAAAGAGATGAAAAAGACTGGAAGCTTGTCTTGGCAATAACTTTTATAAGAAATGAAGAAAGTATTTTCTAAATAGTAGTTACAAGGGGCGCCTGGATGGCTCAGATGGTTAAGCGTCTGCCTTCGGCTCAGGTCATGATCCCAGGGTCCTGGGATTGAGTCCTACATCAGACTCCTGGCTCAGTGGGGAGCCTGCTTCTCCCTCTCCCTCTGCCTCTCCCCCTGCTCATGCTCTCTCTCTCTCTCTCTCTCTCTCTCTGTATCTCAGTGTCTCAAATGAATAAATAAAATCTTAAAAAAAAAATAGTAGTGACGATTCAGCTGAAGTTGACCAGTGCAAATTTGTAGTGGCTTCTCCTCACGTTTTATCACAGATTTGTAATAGAGCTAATGGGAGGAGCAAATGTCCCATCTCTAGATCATTGTCTTCCCCAGCGCATCCCACGGACTCATGAATTAAGTACTTTTTATAGCAAGGTTCTTAAACAAGGTTCTTAAAAGAAGCAGCATATTTACTTGAGGTTTAGTAATCAGGTAAGAAATGGCATAGTCCTAGTAAAGATAGAGCTATATCATTATTTTTGATAGCTATATAGTAGTTCATCATACTGATTTATTATGGTATATTTTGCCAATCATCTAGACTGGCATTTGGGGGTTTTGGGGTTTTTTTGGTAATTATAAATCCTTTCATGTATCACTGTACATTTTCCTGACTATTCCCTTAAGGTAAATTCCTTGAAATAGAATTGCTGGATTAATGAACATAGCCATTTAAATTTTTAAAAATAACTTGCCAGGGGCGCCTAGGTGGCTCAGATGGTTATGCGTCTGCCTTTGGCTCAGGTCATGATCCCGGGGTCCTGGGATCGAGCCCCGCATCAGGCTCCCGGCTTGGCGGAGAGCCTGCTTCTCCCTTTCCCTCTACTGTTTCCCCTGCTTTTTCTCTCTCACTCTCTCTGTCAAATAAATAAATCTTTAAAAAAATATACCTTGCCAAATTATTCTCCATAAGGTTGTCATTTTGCACATAGACCAACCATGAATGAAAATGCGTTTCCTCTTAACCTTACCAACACTAGGTATTATCATTCTTTTTTAATCTTTGCCAATTTAAAGTTCTAAAAATATCTTGTTTTACCATGCAACTCTTTGTTAACCAGTGAAATGGAAAATATTTTATTATGCTCATTTGCATTTCATAGTGATATTATTTATTTTCTTAATCTGAAAAATTCTTTTTATATTAAGCATATTTATTTGGTCTTTGTTATATATGTTGCAAGCATTCTCTTTCTAAATAGGCACACAACAAATTCTAATGCCTAATAAAACTAGACTGTGAAGTTACTAATCATCAGCAGTTGCATTATGCATTGACCTCTTCTTCACCTGCTTGCGTTACAAGCAAAATTAGGCCATGCTCTGGCATCTTCCATAGTCTCATATTGCTTTTGTTTCTTGGAAATAGTGTGCGGTCCGTGCAGCCACAGAAGGCAGAACCCTCATTTTGGAAGGCTTGGAAAAGGTGGAGAGGAATGTTCTGCCCGTTTTGAACAACTTGCTGGAAAACAGGGAAATGCAGCTTGAGGATGGACGCTTCCTAATGTCTTCAGAGCGTTATGACAAACTTCTCCAAGTAAGAAAAGAAAAATCCAGCTCCTTTGTCTTGGCTCCTGAGCTGTGGGTGGTGCTATTTTGGTGAGACATGATTGTATGGGAATGAGGACAGCGTTCAGGTGGCTCGTATCTGCAGATTGCTGCACTTCAGTCATGAGCTTGCAGTTTTACAAATTCTTCAGTTTGCAGATCCTGTTAGAAGACCTCTCGGATTTTTCCTTTTTTTTTTTCTTGCCAATGTAAGAACTCTTTGTTTCTCTTTTTTTCCCTCCTTTTAATTCTCTCTTCTCTTTCTCCCTCCTTTCCTATCTTCCTTCTCTATCTCCCAACAACCATGTACTGAAAGTCTAATGGCTTCTAGACGGTGCAGGGAAAACAAAGCTGAACAGAGTGTAGTTCTTGGCCTTCAGAAGCTCAAAATCCAGTAGATATTGACAGAAATGAATAAGATATTTAAAAGATACCCAGATGGCCCAAGCTGCCTGGATCTGATGCCTGAGTTGTTTAAAGAGCCTCCTAACAATCCCTGAATCCATTCTGGCTACCTAGCGGCTGTCTATGATCACTTTAAAACATGGGGCGGAGTAGATCAGACCTCTGTTCTAAACCCAAAGGCCTTCCAGTGGAAAATAGGTCTTGTCTGATCTGGCCTCTTCCTGTCTCTTTGGCCTTATCGCCTGCTGTCCTTTTTTATTCCGCTCCAGCTGATAGTATTCTCTTTACTATACCTTAAACCCGCTGGGTGGGCGTTCTCTTAGTGCTTTGCAAGTCCCTTTGCTCTTCCAGAATGGTTTTCTCCCAGATACCTGCCAGGCTTCCATACTCCTTCAAGTCTTTGCTCCAATGTTATGTTTTCACCCTCCTATTTGACATTGCAGTGTCCCCTCTGCCCTCATGCTCCCTGACTCTGCTCTGTTTTCTCCTTAGTCTTCTAACATCCTACAGGAATTATTTCCTTGCTCTGTTTTTAGTTTATTGGCTGCCTCCCTCTGCTAGATTCCAACTTTCACTAGGGCAGGGATTTTTGTCGCCAGTGGTATCTCAAGGTCTTAGAGCAGTGCCTGGCACTTGGTGGCTGCTTGGTAACTATTTGTTGAATGAATGAATCAGTGCAATAAAATCTTTAAATGCTGTGATGCAAGTTGATAGAAAGAGGACCACAATAAGGAGTGTGGGGCCCTTCAGAGGCTTTGGGGAAGGGGTTCATGTAATGTCACAAAAGGACAAGAAGACAGCCCTTGCTCATTCAGCACCGTCTGTGCTACACTGGAGCTGTCCGGCTAACCCAGAGTTCCGGGGATTGAGGGCTCTGCCTCGGCATTGTAGGATTCAGTCTCTCTGACGCTTGTGTGGCAGAGATACATGTATGCTAATTTTACTGCCCCAAGTTGGTTACACGTTGCTCAAGAGCAGAGTCTGTGTCTTACCTTTCTTAGTGATACAGCTGATGCAAGCCCAGGACACACTAGGCACTAAATAATAGATGTTGACACCAGAGGGTCTGATTGAACTGATGCTGCGTGGCTGGCAGGACCAGAAATAGCTCTTTCTGATTCCTGCTGTGTGAGTCTGTTTTCTCAGAAACCTATCTTGCTACCCTTTTAGCAGTCTGTTTCTTTACTGTTTATAGGAGTCTCTAGATGGTGTGTTCACTGTGAGGTATAGTCTTGTTTTGGCTCTATCTGAAGATGACATCATACTAATGTAATTAGAAGAGGATAATTGAGGATTTAATCAGTAAGAAAAGTTAAATTCATTCATTTGTATTGTTAGAGTTAATTTACTGAGATGAAAGACATGTCTATTATTCATTTATTTAAACTTATTTTAAATTTTAATTAATATTTTATAAATAATATGAATTTAAATAAATATAAGAATAGTAATTTATAGTTATTATTTTTAAAGTAGGTCAATGTTATGCAGAACATTTTCTCCTTATATACTTTTTTGATTACAAAAGAACTATTATTGGCTCCTATATAGTTATTTAGTTATTTGCTATTTTTAGTAAATGATTTGGAAGAGAATACTCAGATATGGGATATATATATATTTTTAAGTATAGTAGTTACTTCACAACAAGAAGTTTGATATATTCTTTATTTGTGTAAGAATTTTATGCAAAGTTATTGATCCATATTACTTTGGATAAGAATTTGAGATATGGGGTCAAGAGGGTTTTAGTATACAAGGAGTGTTTGTTATTGAGAAGGACGTACTACATTGTTTTTTCCCAATGTAAGTATCAGTATACATGCTTAATTTTCTTTGATAAATGTCATTTCTATATTCATAGCATCTGTCTCATAAGACCCTCAGAGAATATAGGCAAGATCCCTTCACAAAGCACCACTACTTTAAGACAATTTCTATGATAAAAGGATTTCAACACCATAATTTAAGTCCCACTTTTTCTAGCGAGATTCAATATGCTAAATTTGAATACCTCAAAGTTTTAATGGTTTCATAGAGGTGATTTTAGTAGAATGTTGTTATTAGGGAAACAGATACAATCAGTTTGTATAAATTTTATTTATATCCTGATGAGCATTTTTTGGTAAGTGGAAAAGAAAAATATTCAGCTCTCTGAAGATTTTGCTGTTGGTGTCTCAGGCAGGGCTAGATCCTGACTCTTGTTTTCCATGGTGACATAGCATCACTGTTAGTTCTGTTAATGAAAGTGGGGTCGGGGCACCTGGCTGGCTCAGACGGTTAAGCGTCTGCCTTCGGCTCAGGTTATGATCCCAGGGTCCTGGGATCGAGCCCCACGTCGGGGTCCTGGGATCGAGCCCCACGTCGGGCTCCTGGCTCAGCGGGCTGTCTGCTTCTCCCTCTTCCTCTGCCTGTCCCCCTGCTCATGCTCTCTCTCTGTATCTTAAAAAAAAAAAAAAAAAGACAGTAGGGTCATAATTTTGGTTATGCTTAAAATAATTGTTCATTATGTTTTTAAATGATTTCAGACAATCAACAGACATTTGTCCTATTATATTTAAGAAATAATAAGTCCTCTCGGGAGCTTGGATTCAGCATGAGGTGGTAATGAACAGAAGTCATTGCACACATGTTTAATGATAACAGCTTGCATAGGATACAGTGGAGGGGTACAAAACTGGTTCCAATGGAGGGAGGGATTAGAAAGTGATGATGTTGTTAGTGCTAGGCTTGAAATGATGCCTGTGCGTATGCTGTGCAAAGTGGAAAGGGTGTTTCAGGCAAGTGGAGCAGCGTTGGTGAAGCAGCAGGACGTGTCTGGAGGGCCACAGTTGTGAGATGGGGCTGGGGCACAGGGTCAGGGAAGGCGGGCTGAGGGGTGGGAGTGCAGTGCTTGCTGAGCCTGGGAGAATGGGACATGAATCAAGCCAGGAAGGTCCTTGAATGTCACGTGAAGAGCTTCTACACTGTTCTGTGGGTCGCATCCCCTGAAGATGTGCTGAAAGCTGAGGACATGCACGTTCACAGAAGCTTTGTAAGCTATACGTCTGAGGACAGTGAAGAGCCATTGATAGGGTCAGGCAGAGAGAGAAGGAATGACAGCTAACAGGTGCCTACTGTGGACCAGTTGCTTTCACACACACTGTCATGTTTAGTTTTCCTAATTGGCACAGGAATGTTGGTGATACTTGTCCCATTTTATCGATGACAAAGCCGAGGGTCAGAGGGTATAATAACATGCTCTTGGTCACTTCATTAGAGTTTACGCCCAGTGCTGGAGCCAGGGTTTATAACGCCAAGCCCTGTACTGTTTGCAGTCTCAACTCCACCAGATGCTAGTTGCAGGACCATGGGCAAGTTATATAATTCCTTTGAACATAAGTTTGTTCATCCCTAAAAAGGAAATAAATGTTTATTTGCATTCTGGTAAAAGTTAAATGAGCAAAATTCATCGAAAGTACTTACCATGTAGCGAGTTTTCAATACATGTTAGTTGTTACTATTAATACACCTTGGCAGAAATAGACTCATAAACATAAATGTCAATTTGAGGTCTATGGGCAGTCTCTGCTCTACCTCTAGGACTACCTTTTTACGTTCCCTGGTCTGAATCAGTATATTTTCCTTACCCTCCTCACTCAGTTTCTCTGAGTTAATGACTACAGCTTAGAGATCTGACCCACATTGCCTTTGTTCCTTGATGTGTTAGCTGCTTCTCCGTTCAACACCAGTCCTCATGTTGGGAGCCTTCCCTGGCGCCCTGATCCTGATTTCACTTTGCTTCCTTCCTTGACAGTTTGGTTTTGAGGTGGTTCTCAAATACAATTTACTCAGCAATCAGGGCCTAAATTCCTTAGCCTGGCAGCTCTTGCTGTTGTAATCTGCATCATTTATGCTCTAAGTTTTGATCTCTTTCTTTCAGGCTCATACCAGAGCAGAGTTGGATGCTTGGAAGATTGTTAGGGTTAGTGAAAACTTCCGAGTCATTGCGTTGGGCTTGCCAGTGCCTAAGTACTCTGGGAATCCATTAGACCCCCCTCTCCGTTCTCGATTTCAGGCCAGAGATATTTATTATCTACCCTTTAAGGTAAGTATGAACAAGGATAATTTATTTTTAAACAGTTTTTCTACTTATATTTGGTTACTATAAAAACGTTACTATGATTTGATATGTTTCTGTTATTTTAGGACCAACTTAAACTGTTATATGCAGTTGGAGCCAGTGTTCCTGCTGAGAAGTAAGTATTTCAGCTACATATACACACATACACAGACACACACACACACACACACACACACGGAGACATTTATATAAATATTTGGACACTTAACATTGAATTTGTTTATTTGTTTTGCCCATTGATTGATTGATTAATTCGTCCATTCAACAACTATTCTTTGAAGAATTTTTCAGTAGCTTTGGTAAATGCTGATGATAAACTTAATAAGACATGATCCTTGGAGGCAAGAAACTCAAGATCTGGTAGAGTTTAAAGATATGGGAGGGGCGCCTGGGTGGCTCAGTCATTAAGCGTCTGCCTTCGGCTCAGGTCATGATCCCAGGGTCCTGGGATCGAGCCCCGCGTCGGGCTCCCTGCTCCACGGGAAGCCTGCTTCTCCCTCTCCCACTCCCCCTGCTTGTGTTCCCTCTCTCGCTGTGTCTCTCTCTGTCAAATAAATAAAATCTTTAAAAAAAAAAAAAATAAAGATATGGGAGTACATTAGTTTAATATTGTATAGTAAGGGTCATAATTTTATTTATTTTATTTTTATTTTTATTTTTTTTTAAAGATTTTATTTATTTATTCATGAGAGATAGAGAGAGAGAGAGGCAGAGGCAGAGGGAGAAGCAGGCTCCCCGCGGAGCAGGGAGCCCGATGCGGGACTCGATCCCAGGACCCTGGGATCATGACCTGAGCTGAAGGCAGACGCTTAACCGACTGAGCCACCCAGGTGTCCCAGGGTCATAATTTTAAAAAGGCGTCAGCATTTGAGGTGGGTCCTGAAGAATGAGTACGCTTTTGCCAGATAAAGAATGGAAGTAAGGAATTGGAAGAAGTTATTTTTAAAACGTGGGATATGAGAGTGTACACCTTGTTCTTGAGGCTATAAAAAGTTCCTGGTGGCTGGAATTCAGGTTTGGATTGAGAAAGGTCAGAGGGGGGACTGGCAGGATAAATGTGGGCCAGGTTGTGAAAAACCTCACATATTGTCATATTTTAGAAACATATTTGGGGACGCCTGGGTGGCTCAGCCAGTTAAGCGTCTGCCTTCAGCTCAGGTCATGATCCCTGGGTCTTGCCATCGAGTCCCGTGTTGGGCTCTCTGCTCAGTGGGGAGCCTGCTTCTCCCTCTGCCTCTGCCTCCCCCCCAACTTGTGCTCGCTCGCTCTCTCAAATAAATCAATTTTTTAAAAATCTTTAAAAAAAGAAATATATCTGTGTATTTAATCAGCTTCTGAGTTTTATTTATTTATTTTTAAAAGATTTTATTTATTTATTTGAGAGAGAGAGAGAGCAGCAGAGGGAGAGGGAGAAGCAGACTCCCCGCTGAGCAGGGAGCCACACATGGGGCTCGATCCCAGGACCCTGGGACCATGATCCAAGCTAAAAGCAGACACTCAACTGGCTGAGCCACCAGGTGCCCCAGCTTCTGAGTTTCAAATGGAATATTATAATATGAAGCTGTTGTTTCTTGAGAATTTAATAGCAAATGTCATCTTTTAGATTAATTAAATTGGCTCAGCTGTTTTATATTTAAAAAATGAATACATTTTATATATTAAAACTATTAGAATAACATTTAACATCACTTCGTTTTTTTTCCCCTAGAATTTCTCAGCTCCTGTCCTTTGCCACCACTCTCTGTTCCCAAGAATCTTCTACTCTTGGACTTCCAGATTTTCCTTTAGATAGTTTACCAGCTGCAGTTCAAATCCTGGTATGTATAAAATAAATTAATGACTATGTGGGAAAGAACATTTAAAAGTTAATCCTTGGGGATTAATCACTTCAGTTTGCCTTGTCCTATTCTTCTTTAAATATTACAAGACCTGAGATTAATTGGCTCCAGCGCCGTAAACTGTACAGAGACCAGCCACGTGTTCTGAGCTCTTAAAGAGCTTCCAGCTTTGTGTTGTGGGGGGGGGAAGCAGACATGCAGCTCAGGTAAAAGTCCCACAGAGGGAGGGAGGACTCAGCCTGCAGAGGCATGAAGAGCTGGGAGAGGCGTATTGCAAGTAGGCTGTGCCTCACACCTGCCGCAGCCTGAGGCCGGGAGCTGGGGCTTTCACACTTGGGCACCAGCAGTCATTGCCCAGTGCTCATCGCGAGGGACACTGATTCCCAGGCGCTAGCTGCTCTCTCGGCCTGTAGCAAGCTGGCTTCAGGAGTTCAAGACCAGTCTCCTTTAAAAGCCCTGCTACCGCTGGCTGTTGAAAGGGAAAGGTGAGAGGCTCAGAAAGGGTAAGAACAGATCTGAGGGGTTTGGTGGAGCGTAGACATTGTCCACCACAGTTTCGCAGAGGTCATGACAGTAGTGTCAGAAGTGGTCGAAATGCCCTCCAGGCAGGGGGAACAGCTCAGACAAAGGTGTTGAATCACAAAAGGGCTTGGTACGTTTGAAGAATGCTGAGTTGTATTGCTAGAGCAAGCATGTATGGTGAAGAGAAAGGTGAGAATTTTTGTGTGAAGTGCTTTGCATCGTGGGTGAAGTTGTCTGGATTTTATGGTGGGGAAGAAGGGGCCTATTAGATATTATGAAGTAGGTGAGGTGTATAGTATAATCAGTTATATGTTGGAGGAAGATACCTCTGCTGGCAGGGAGGAGGGATGGGGAGAGCATGGTGGCATAAGGAGCAAATAGGAAACAGTTGTAACCATCAGTGAGAGATTCTGCTAAGGAGAGCATAATCCCAGGTAGTAGGGATCCTGCCTAGACAAGAGATTTATTTTTAAACTATAGTTGTGATTCGTTTATGTCTCCTGAGACTGAGTTAGGTTTCACAGGTATTGTTTACACTGTTCTATATATTTAGAACAGCTTTTCTCCTCCTATTTATCATAGCTCCTACTTTTCGTTCTTTTTGTTTTTGCTTGGAACTTTTTACTTTGACAGTTCTCAAATCTAAAAAAAAAAAGTTCGCAAGTAGTAAAATGAACACCCACAATCCCTCAACTAGAATCACCAATTTTTAGCATATTGCCACATTTGATTGCTCTCTCTCTTTTTTTCTGAACCATTTGAAAGTAAACCATGGTCAGTATTCTTATATACTTCAGTGTGCAATTTGTAAGAAGTAGGACGTTCCGCATAACCAGAACCATTAATCATACCCCTCAGCATGTTAACAAGAATTCTATAATATCATCTAATAGTCAACCTATATCGAAATTTCTCTAGTTGTCCCTGTTAGTAGACTTCTGAAAGTAGAGTGAACAGAATTGGGAATGCAGTTTGATTTGGGGGAAGGTTTTGAGAATAATAAATACTTTCTAACTTGTAGTTTATAACTGTGAGGCTAAGTACATGTGTGTATGAGATTAACTCAGATTAGGAATAAGAGTGAAGGAGAAGATACTTTGGGATCAGTAGGGTAGGGAAATGTGTTCAGACATCTAGTTTCAGACATGCTGAACAGGGGTCAATGGGATATCTAGAGTCACATCTGGGCAATTGGGAGTTCAAGTCTAGAGCTCAGGAAAGAGGTCAGGATCAGAGACAGAGACAGGGGAGCCATTAACAGATAGATATCAACTGCAAGATGGGAGTGGGTGAGCTTATCCAGGGAAAGGGTGTGAAACAAGAAGAGAAGAGGAAGCAATGAATATTTACTTTTGTAGACTTCTGGAAAATATGAGAAACCTATTAGTTATTGTTTATAAGGCAATTTCAATGTCATATGCATTTCAGATAAATTTTCTGTGATTATTTTAGATGTTCCTCATTCCTATGTATTTTTGCCCTAAATAGGATTCCTTTCCTATGATGTCAATCAAACATGCAATCCAGTGGCTTTACCCATACACTATTTTACTAGGACACGAAGGGAAGATGGCTGTGGAAGGTGTTTTAAAAGTAAGTATCTTGGGACACCTGGGTGGTGGCTCTGTTGGTTAAGTGTCTGCCTTCAGCTCAGGTCATGATCCCAGGGTCCTGGGATCGAGTTCCGCATCAGGCTCCCTGGTCAGCAGGGAGCCTGCTTCTTCCTCTGCCTCTGCCTGCAGCTCCCCCTGCTTGTGCTCTTTCTCTCTGACAAATAAAATCTTAAAAAAAAAAAAAAAGTAAGTATCTTATATGTTAACTAACTTGAATTTAAATTAAAAAAAATAAGTGTCTGCTTCACTTTCCTTTCTTTTTCCATTGTCTCTTCACGTCCCGTCTTTCTTCCTTTCCCTTGCCTTCCCTTGCTTTTCTCTTTTTTTCCAGGCATAGAGGCACTGGCATGCCAGTGATAGGGAAGCAAGGACCGAGGTGGCTGGTGTGGTTGGGACATGGACTACATTGAACAAATAAGTGAATCAGTTGAGCAAATGAGTGAATATATTGAGGATTATGAGAGCTGTGTTACTTACTGTTGGAAAAAGAATTTATAAACATAGAAAGGGAGAAGGAAAAGACTCCTGAGGTGTTAGATTGGAATTGGAGGAATCAGAATGAACTCATGTTTTTTTCAATATATGTAAACAGAGTAATAGGTATAGATAGTGTGTGTATATGTGAATGCAGACACATATTTTCTAGCTCTGTCCTCTAAGAAGGCCTAAAAACTGACACTCCAGTGGCAATGATCATGCCAAGTGCCGAGACATTGGTTTCTAAATACCACACTTGCTAAAAGGAATCAGGACTCCTAGGAAATAGGGCTGGTTCAAGGATCAACACAGGGGAACTACGTGATGAAATGAACCGGGATCATCTTATTGTGCCAGAAAGCAAGGAAATGTCTAACAAATGATGTTGACGTGCCAAAAGTAATAGAGGAGCCAGCTTGAAGTGGCTCCCATTGGCTAAAATGTGGGACAATTTTAGCATCAAAATAAACAAGGATAACAATTGATTATAAACCATTGAACAAAATAGGAATCTCTAAGTTCATATTGATACAAATGAATAAATAAATACAAGGGGGAGAAGAAAAATCTCTTGAATAAATGCAGAAGGAATTATATAAACAGAAAAATCACCATTTGGCAACCATCAGTGTGGCAGTTGATTTAGGCAGGAGTCATCAAAGGTTTTAAAGCTAGTGGGTGGAGGTTCTATGAAGAATAGAATATTGGGGTGCCTGGATGGCTTAGTCAGTTAAACATCTGACTCTTGATTTTGGCTCAGGCCATGATCTCAGGGTTGTGAGATTGAGCCCCACGTTGGGCTCCATGCTCAGCAGGAGTCTGCTTGAGATTCCCACCCCCCACCATGTGTGCGTACGCTCGCTCTCTCTCTCTCTCTCTCAAATAAATAAATAAAATCTTCAAAAAAAAAAAAAGATAGGATATTGATGTAACCTAAGAATATCTCCTACCAAAATACACAGTTGACTACAAAACAAGAAAATGATACTTTTATGGTAAAGGCCAACTTGACCAGTTGGGACAAATTGACATAGCGTCCCTCCCAAGTGTTAAGCTGAGAAGAGCTCAGCCTCATTTCAGGGATATTCTGGATAAGGACTCACGGTGTGTGTTTGGCCGTGAGAAAGTATGGTATAGACCTAGGTTGAGGGCCATCTTACATAACGAAAGGCCTGTATTCTTGAGAATTGTCCAGTCCATAAGAGAGAAGAAACTGAGGAAACTACTTCAGATTAAAAGGGACTAAAGAGATATGATAGCTAAACCCAACATGTGCTCCTATGTTGGATCCTGGGCCAGATAGGAGAAAGTGACATTGTTGACACAGTTAACCTTGGATTAGATAGCAGTGTTCTATTAAATGATTTCCTGATTTGGAAGCTTATGTAGTGATTACATTGGCCAGAGTTCTTATTTTAGGAAATAGGAACTAGAATGTTTAGGAATGATGAGGCATCATATCTGCAGCTTGCTCCTCAGTGGTTCAGTAAAAGACCAGTGATAATGGTCTGGTGTGGGGTTGCTGCTGGGGGTAGGAGGGAGGGAATAAATGTGCTACAGTGGTAATCATTGGGAAATCTGAGTGAAGGCAAAACAGAAGCTCTTCATACAGCTGAGTCCTGCAACTTTCCTGTAAGTTTGAAATTATTTTAAGATAAAACATTTTAAAAAGTGAATATCCACTATAGTGTTTCAAAATAAAAAAATTTTAAAAATAAATATAACTAATATAGCACTAAGGTAAAATTTATCTGCCTATAACTTAAATTATTAACTTGAAAAGTAAGCACTTTATATAAAACTATGGAAATTGCTATAGACCTGTCATTTAAACTAATTAAGTTCTTATTTTTATCTTAAGTGGTTCATAATACATGGAACCTGATTTTCTTTCAAAGCATGCATGGCATAATTTCCTCATTGTATAGTTTAACAGTAGTGTTTTCTAAAGGGCCAGTCACAATATATGTTATCTTATAACTACATATTTGAACATGTTGACTCTTGGTAGAGATTTATTGACTTACCAAATTAATTCCTTTTTCTGAAAGACAATTTTTCTTTTTCTTTTACAGTTGGCTTAAGGAGCAGATTTCTAAGGAGTAGGTAGAATGTGAACACTTAAGTTGTTTCTATATGTATAGGCCCTTCATTTTCTGGGATTTTCTGCCAGGATTTTACCACCTTAGGCAAATGGAGTGGTATTTGTTTCTTTCCTATCCCAAAATCTACAAAGGGAGTACAGAAAGAAGTATTCTTTTTTTTGTTTTGTTTTGTTTTATTATGTTATGTTAATCACCATACATTACATCATTAGTTTTTTTGTTTTTGTTTTTGTTTTTAAAGATTTTATTTATTTATTTGACAGAGAAAGACACAGCGAGAGAGGGAACACAAACGGGGAGTGGGAGAGGGAGAAGCAGACTCCCTGCCGAGCAGGGAGCCCGATGCGGGACTCAATCCAGGGACTCCAGGATCATGACCTGAGCCGAAGGCAGTCGCTTAACCAACTGAGCCACCCAGGCGCCCTACATCATTAGTTTTTGATGTAGTGTTCCATGATTCATTGTTTGTGTGTAACACTGTATTCTTTATGTAGGTAGTAATAGTGAGAACTCAGAAGTAGATTCTAGGTACGCTAGCAGGTTTTTTTTTTCCACATATCAGCTAGCCAAAGAAGCATTGTTTTCATTGATTGGTGGTGTCAATAATGATAATAATAATAATAGTAATAAAAAAATAAAACTAATAAAAAGCTGTTCCTCATAGATGCTGAGAAGTATAGTTGGGGACAGATTCTAAATGAAAAGCATAAAGAAGCAAAGGGAAAATATAACTATATAGTTCACTTTAAGTTTTATTCTTGGCACTGAAAAAAAGAATTAGAATTCATCTTTGATTTAATCAACATCTGAACTAAGTTGGCATCATCGGTCATTGAAATAGAGCACACAGTGTTTAAGAAAAAGGCTGTGATTCCAGATGTGCTCCCTCGATGCCTATCAGCACAGTGCCCAACTCCTACAGAACAAGGGTAAATAGTCAGGGATGAAGAACATGTCATGGGAAGGTCTGATAAAATGAAGCAATGTAAACTTTTTTGTGACACAACTGAAAGAAGATATTCGGTGCCTGCAAGAGTCAGTTATGAACGAAGGTTTTTATTTTTATAAAGAAGCCTCTTTGATGTGTTTCTGATCTCTAATTTCAAAACTAGTCATACAAATTAGACTTCCAGTGAAGATGGCAGAGTAGGAAGATCCTAAGCTTACTTTGTCCCCTGGATACAGCTGGCGAACACCCACATCAGTATAAATCACACAGAAAACAACCTGAAGACTGACAGAATCCACTCTCTGGCCACATTGAAGTGGGTAGGAAGGGGGGGAGATGTGGTCAGGAGCTAAATGGACCTGGGGGACTCTTTGTGGCAGGGAGGGACACCTTGGGCTCAGAGAGAGGAAAAGAACAGGCCCTCACACCAGGTACGCCAGGCACTGGAGACCTGCACAGGGAAGACAAATCTCCATAACATTTGGCTTTGAAAACCAGAGGGGCTGATTTTGTGAGTTCTTACAATTAGCAGGGCTTAACACCTGGAACTTGGAAAATCTGTGGGCTCAGCTCTGAGAGGGTGACAGGAATCTGAGTGTCCACGCTTAAAGAGACAGCATACCAAATAGCCCCACAGAGATACAGCATAGAAACAGCAGTTTGAAAAATACTGGAGTATATGGGAGGGAGATTTGTTTACTAATTTCAGAGCATGTGCTAGAGAAATAGGGATGCTTGGGAGACCTCTCCAAGAACAAAAATGCTGGCAGATACCATTTCTTTCCCCCACCCCCCAGCCTAGATACATGGACACCTTCGAGCACCAGCACACCCTACTTAACTTGCTAATAGTTAAGTACATTCTGTGGACGCACCCCCTCCAATACATCTTGGCCAGAGCACACCCAAAGTAGTGCCACAGGCCTAGCAGTGTGCAAACATATCCAACAGGTGTGAGCAACACAACAAAGTGACTCTTGCCCCAGATTGGCCCAAGGTGGCCCCAGACTGGTCCACTAACAACACAGGGATCAAACCCTGCACACAACAGGGAAGGAGAGCCATTGCAGATGACTGGGTTGAAGGCAAAAGTGGCTCGGCCACAATCGTAGGGCGGTGCACACCACACGGGTAGGAGATACCCCTGGAGTGCCAGGTTCCGATAACAGGGGACTTTACACAGGAGAGCACTACAGGACCTCTTCTTCATATAAGGCCACTACTTTTAAGAGCTGGAGATGTAGCTGACTTTCCTGACACATGGAAACAAAGAGTTAGACAAAATGAGACAGAGGAATATTTCCCAAATGTAAGAATAGGACAAATTCACAGCAAAAGAGGAAAAGGAAATGAAAATAAGTAATACGCTTGATAGAGAATTTATAATAATGGTCATAAAGCTACTCACTGGACTTGAGAAAAGAGCGGAGGACCTCAGCGAGACCTCTA